CTACACACTGAAGTTCTTATTCTCTAATCTAACTGGTTAACTTCATTCTTCTCTCCCAACTCCCCCCCTTCCCCCAACACACACACACACACACACACACACACACACACACACACACACACACAATCTCCAATACTTTTTTGAGCTGTTGTTTACTTTGCATACCCCTCCCTCACACCATTCTCCCCATAGTCTACTCTACACACTTAAATGATTGTTAAATAGCCTATCTTTACCAATTGAAATCCTTCCTACCTTTTAATGTAGCACACATGCTGCTTCTGTGAAACCTTTCCTAGTTCCCTTTAGCCTCAGTCACATGGGACTTTGCTTTCTTTGGATTCCCCATAGCATTTTGTAGGAGGCATGCATGTCACACTAATCACACATGCTGCCTATTGGTGCACTTATTTGGTCTTCCCTTATTGAAATTAACAGAAGGCGCAGCACTTGCCCTCAAGAAGCTTACCGTTCCTAATATTTTGAAGCATCTACTAAGTGTAAGGTACTGTATTAGATGCTGGAGATACAGAAATGAAAAATAAAAAAATAACATTTCCCTTGAAGAATTCATTGTCAGATTGTGGTGGTGGTGGTTGTGTTCAGGTAGACGATGAAGAAGTGCGGTGTAGGGTAGTGAGAGTGTCAAGAAAAGTGGAGGTGGAAAAATCTTTGTCTCTTCCATAGTGCCTGTCAAGGTATCTTACATATAATAGGTACTCAATAAATATATATTGAATTACTATTGAATATTCTTGTAACTCATGTTTCAGTTTATAGAGATGCCAAATAATGAATTAGGTAGTAGTTCCTTGAGAACAACTGTATTTTTTTTGATTAAATTTTATTTTTCAGTTAGCTAGTATGTATTTTTCTGTCCCTTCCACCAGGAGTCCTCTTCTCCCATATTCTGTAGGGCCCCCCCCACTTACAAAAAGAAAAGAAAAGAAAAGAAAAATCCTTGTAATATACATAGTCAAACAAAACAAATTTTCATATCTTTAAAGTCTAAAATTGTATAGCATTCTACATGTTTAGTCCTTTACCTCTGTCTGGAGAGGTATAGCATGCTTTCTCCTCAGTCCCATGGAATAATGGTTGATCATTTTGTTGATCAAAGCTCATCTTTAAAATGTGTTATCTTTATCATTTTATGGTTTCTACTGTAAGAACTCTTATTACAGTATAAATTGTTCAGGCTCTGTTCAGTTCACTCTATATCAGTTCATACAAATTTTTCCAGGTTTCTCTGGAAGTGCCAGAGACCAGTTTTTTCTTTTTTTTGCGGGGGGAGAAAGAGGGTTGTTTGTTTTATAACACTAAGGACTTAACATCGTGCCTGGCATGTAGAAGATAATCAATATTTATTGAAATGGACCGGACACAGTAATGTACAAGTTGTTATATTCTTATGAATAGGATAATATTTAGAGCTTGAAGAGGCTTTAGAGATTGTTTACTCCAATCTTCCCCTTTTTTTTTTCCCAACTGAGCAAAACTAAGGCTCAGGGAAGGGAGACAACTTGTCCAAGAGGACACAAGGAAGTATCACAGCCTGGATTCAAACTTGTATATTCTAGACCCCAAATCTAGTGCTCTTTCTTCTATACCGTAATAACCTCGTGTATGTTTATCAGCATAAAGGACTAAAGAAAAATCACGAAAAAGCACTTTGGTTTTTAATTTCAAACTTTAATTGAACCACACTGTGATTGCCTGTCAATTGTATTGTGCCTTTTCCTTTCCCTGCATACTTCCATTATGATGGGTTTGGTGCCAGTAAAAGTGTCTGATCTCTTTTTTCTGTGGCAGAATGGAGTAAGTGATGCTGCCTGGGAAAGAGGAATTGTTCTTCCTTCCTTGCCCAGCTTGAATTCAATAAGTAAAAGGCAGCTCTCACTAAATCTCTTTAACTTTTTAATGGAAATGTATCTAACTTAAATATATTTTGGGTAGGAAAAAAATGAGGCCATTTATTTTCATTTTCTCGCTAAGCCACTTCTGCTAAACAACAGATGTATATAGAACCAATGCTTTGTAAATGACATTTGGGCAAATAAGGAGTCCATGCCATTTATAAGGCATTTATTTGTAGTGCCTAGGGAAATGGAATTGGAGTCAGGAAGACTTGAGTTTACTTCCTACTTTAGACACTGACCAGCTACATGACCATGGCAAATTACTTAACCTCCATTTACCTTGGTTTTCTCATCTGTCAAATAGCCAAGCCTCTACACTACTTCCCTTACCATCTCCCCAATATGCTGCTGTGAGGCCACCATCCTCATCTCTCTCCCACTGAAACCTTGGACTCTGGCTTTCTCTAGACCTCCACAGTACTCCCTGGCCAGTCTTCCACCTCTTTTCAACTCCTCTTTCTTTATGTGTTATTTTTCCTCCTTAGAATGTACATCCCTTGAAGGCAGGGGCTGTCTTGCTTGCTTGAATTTGTATATCTGTTGCTTAGAATGATTTTTTGTGTTCAGTCATTTCAGTCTCATCACCCCATTTGGGCTTTTAGTGGCAAAGATATTGGAATGGTTTGCCATTTCCTTCTCCGACTCATTTTAAAAATGAGGAAACTGAGGCAAATAGATGAAGTGACTTGCCCAGGGTCACACAGCCAGTATAAATGTCTGAGGCCTCATTTGAACTCATATCTTCCTGACTCAAGGACCTGTGCTCTATCCACTGGGCCACCTAGCTGCCCCCAGGCTTCACACATTGTTAGCACTTAATAAATGTTGTATCTATCTTGATCTGTGTCTCTTTATCTTTCCTACCCTTGATAATGAGATGGTTGGATTTGATTCTACCTTCTACTTCTTAAGTGTATGATCCCTGGGTTAAATTGGAGAAACTATTTTGCATAGTAGATAGAACTGGCTTCTGAATGAGAAAGGGAAGGCTTCAGTTATCACCTCTTGTCACATACTGGCTTTGTGACCCATGGCAAATCCCTTAAACTCTCCGTGTTCTGGGTGCTGCTCTGCATTGGTGGAGGTGTGAAGGATGGAGCTTCTTCCATAGCCCCCTTTTATAGAGGACTCACAGCCTTGCAGGTTAGTCTTCATTTTCCATCAGTTGCTCTGCTTGTTTTTGACTCCAGGAAGATCCAGCCCCCTATGCTGGGCACCCCCTCTTCCCCACCAGAGGTCTTCTGTGTGTTGTCTTTCCCCATGAGTGGACTGTAAGCTCCTTGAGAGCAGGGACTATCTTTTCTTATTTGTCTCCAAGTCCTTAGCACAGTCCCTGGCACATAGTAGGGGCTAAATAAGTGTTTATTAACATTTAACTAGTGATTAAAGAATTGACTTTGGAGTACTAAGGATCTAGGTTCAAATCCTGCCTCAGACACTTACTAGTTGCGTGAACATTGGCAAGTCAACCTTTCCGCTTCTGTTTCCTTATCTGTAAAATGAAGATAATAATGGCACCTACTTCACAAGGTTGTTGTGAAGATAGATGAGATAATATGTGTAAAATGATTTGCAAATATTAAAGTACTGTATTAATATTAGCTGTTGTTAGTATTATTGGACATATAACTAAAGGGGGCTTCCAAAAGATAGTTACCCTGGGATATTTACTGACACTGAACATTGATCTCTCTTGTCCTGGCTGGTTCAGGAAGACTTGCTAGATAGATAAGGAGGGGCTATAGACTTGCCTTAATAAGGAAAGTGGAATAACATCCTTATGATACACCAGGCAAATTCAGGTACAGTTTGGTGGAACGATCACTGTGCTAGGTGTCAGGAGGCCTGGTTTCTAATTCTGGATTTGCCACTAAGTAGCTTTGTGATCTTGGCAAGAAGCAGTGTGGTTTAGTGAACAGAGAACCAGTCTTGGAGTCAGGAATACCTGCATTCAGGACCAGCCTCTGACACATACTGAGTGGGCAAACCTGGACACATCCGATAATCCCTCCATGCCCCAGGCAACTCTCTGAGCTCTGAATTGTAGAGAAGGTGCTTCTCTGCACTGATAGAGAGAATTCCTTTCTAGGAGTTACCTCTACCGAGGAGAGGATCATATTTTTTTTTTTAAAGGCAATTCGGGTTAAGTGACTCACCCAGGGTCACACAGCTAGTAAGTGTCGTGTTTGGTCTGAGGCCGGATTTGAACTCATGTCCTCCTGACGTCAGGGCCGGTGCTCTATCCACTGTGCCACCTAGCCTGCCTCGATGATGATCGTATTTTAATAAAAACAACTCCAAACTAAATACCTCTCTGGGCCTTACTTTCCTTATCTGTAAAATGAGAGTGTTGGATTAAATGATTTCTGAGAATTCTTGGGGTTTTCAAATTCTGCCAAACAGTTTATAGGAATGTGGGCTCCACATGTGTAAAATTCTAGCTATTCCCTATCTCATTGGGCAAAAGCCCAGTTATCCCATGAGGTCCTGTGTATGATGTCTGAACAGTGAGAAAAGAAATTCTTCTTCCATTTTGTAGTCTCTAGCCCATACAGAGCATAAGAGTGTGATTCAGTGCAGAGGGCCCGGGACCAAGTAGTCAGGCCTTGGGTGCTGCTAGTCATGGTACTATCCTTTGACTTCTTTGGGGCTCGGTTTGGACTTGACCACCTCTGAGGTTCTTTCTTCATCTCACCTCCTATGAGTCCAACATAATCTATAATCTATAAAATCTATAAAAGAAGTATCTTGCCTGAATTATGGTAGTCTTGGTGCCTTAGAAAGCGTAATAGATTTGGAGTCAGAGAGCCCTGACTTTGAATCCTGGCGCTGCCCTGAAAGCACCGTTGCTTGACTGTGGAGGCCACGCGACCTCTGAAGGGATGGAGGGAGTTGAACTGAATCTAAGGTCCCTTCCAGGTCTGAATCTCTGATCCTAAGTTCCCCATGAATTAATAGGTTTTACAAAAAAGAGTAGTGAAGCTTGTTTTATTAAAAAAGGAGTCACAATATGGCTTTCTATGTATGTAGCCAGGTAGTCTTTCTTATTTGTCTTTCAATTGTGTGTCTTTTTCTTTACAGCATCAAGATGGTATTAATGTGGACCAGTGGTGACACCTTTAAGACTGTATACTTCATCCTGAATCAGGCCCCTTTCCAGTTTTCCATCTGTGGTTTGCTGCAGGTGCTGGTGGACATGGCCATCCTGCTGCAAGTCTACCTGTACACCTACTACCCCCAGAAGCCAGCGTCTCATGCGGCACACCCAGTTAGTGCAAAGGCCCTCTGAAGGCAGAGAGAGAAAGGACACCTGCCGTCATTGAGGGGGACACCAACCTGACAGCTTTGCTTTCCTCAGCAAGAGCCTGGAAATACAGCTGCCTCCTTCCAAACAAAAGCAAAAAAGGACTGGGAAGTATACTGGGGGCACTGGTGAGGCTGTGTGGGATTAGGGGGAAAAGGCATGAGAAAGACTAGAGAAGAGCTGAATGTCCAGTATCTTGAGGGTTAGCTTTAATAATTTATTGTGCTTCAGTCTCACTAGTCAGGGAGGATGTTGAAAGTCTTGGTTTTGATAGGTTTTCCCCCATACGTACTCATGGGCCTTATTCTTATTAGGATAGCATCAGTATATTATTATATATGCATGCTCATAAATGAGCATTTATATGGAAATGTATTTTATATCTCAAGGGCTGGGTTTTAATTTTTTAAAAGATATAAAAAAGTTTTCTATCCATTACCCCTCCTCTCCCCTTAAGAAACCTACCACCTGTAAAAAAGTATTGGATCTGAATTCTTAACATATTTACAAATATTATGCACACTGGAACTTAAGTATAGAGTACTCACTAGAAAAGCTAGCTCTCTTGATGTACTGGGGAGCAGCCACTATAGCCAGTAAAGCCAGATGAAAGAGAGAAAAAGAAAAATGATCACAGTTATCAAAGGGAAGCAGTTAAAATTCAGTGTCAGGTTCCCATCTCTAAGCACAGGTATCTCTCTATAAAAGGTTGAATCCCCATCTGGCACACAAGCACCAGTCACCTTGGAAAGGGACTATCCTCTAATTTCCTTTACTGCTGGGCAGGATAGGGAATTGTTTTGACTTCCTGGAGACCTTGTAGTAGCTATGATGGTTGCTAAGGGTGATGATGAGCTCTTGGGTCTGAGTAGGGGCAGAGGAAGTTGACTGCCACAGGAAGTGACAAGGAAAGATTGGCAAAAGAGAGGCCAGGGTTGGGTAAGCTATGCCAATGCTGAATATGGCTTACTGGCAGCCCCAGCTGCTGCTGCATGACAGCAGCACCTGAGTGGAAGGAGAACCTTGATGGAAATGTGTGAGTAATAGACAGCAGGGAAAGAGGAAGGTCAGAAATATTGACAGAGTGACCAATAATGCCTAGGTTGAAGAATCAAGATCTCCTTTACTTAAAAACTAGCTGTGTGAGCTCATCATCCACTGTGACAGAATAACTCAGTGCCAAACAGTGATCATTTGTGATCTAAGGGAAGAGAACATGGATTCCCTGTAGTGTACAAGTACAAGGGAAACATTGTCCAAATTGATGGCTGGACAATTCTTCTCTTGTCTGCAGCTCTTCCAGAGGGAGTCAGTATTAGGTGTAGTCTGGAAGGATCATTGAGAAGGTTAGTGAGGGACAAATAATTTTATATACCTAAACCATATATATATGTGTGTGTGTGTGTGTGTATATATATATATATATATAGTTTATATATATAGTTTTATATATATAGTTATATATATAGTTATATACATGTATATACAATATACACATATATATGGAGAAGAAGTTCTACATATTGAATTTTATATAGACACATGTATTTATTTGGCTAGTGTTGATGTTGATTTCTGAGAGCCTGCGTTTGGAATGGAGCATTTCCATGGGGTTCTGGTTTGTAATTTTCATCACCAGTTGCCCTTGGCCTCTACCAGTTGCTCCCAGAGGCAGACATAACTAATGAACCTTTGGGTATCAGGATGTACTAAAACTCTTTTGCATTGTTGTTTCTTTGCAGGCCTTCTCCCTAAAACCCACTTTATTTACTGCCAGACTAAACACTACTGTGGGTAAACAGGAGGATTTCCTTACCTCTAGAGTCTCCTCTGGGCATTTGATAATCCTTTTTTAGGTCAGGAAGAGCTCAGGGGATACAGCATCCAGTGTCTTGCTTTATTAGAGTTGGTGTTTTGCACTGGGTTTGCACGCTGGCTGATGCCTTACTCTGCTGAACTAGATAAAGGGGCATACTTTCAGTAGTGACAAACAAACATTGAGTACCTACTGTGTGCAAGGCACTGTGTCTGCAGTCCTCTTCTGCTTGAATGTTAGTCACTCAACAGAGAGAATTCACACAGTTCCAGATGGATTTGGCTCTTGTGTGACTTCACTCTCTGGTGAAGCTTGACCTCAAGGCTCCCATTTCCTGGGAGAGCTAGGGGAATCCATACCTCTTTTCTCCTTGGAGACATAATGGTTAAATCCCATCTTTGGATGTATTTGCATTTTTTAGGTCTGTTTTCTTTCTTTTTTTCTTCTTCTTGACATTATAGAAACACACATGTGCACACATAGCATTTTACTTCTGTTCTTTAGGAAAGTCCAATGGCACAAACCACTGGGAGAGGGGAAGCCTTAGACAAAGGCGCAGTCTCACCACAGTCTAAAGTCAGGAATGAACTCTGTGCCAGTGACACTCATTATACCTAATACTCAGGAATGCCATTCTTTCAGTGGCCTGGCATGGAGTGCTGTGGGCCCAACTCCATTGATTTTATTTGGTACCGTATGCTCTTATGCCTAAAGTGACCTTACAAAGATGGCATATGGTGGGTCAGGAACATCTTTGCCTGCCTAGCTTCTTCCTTATTCCAGTTCTATTCTCCTGACTAACCTGACTTCTCTACTCCCAGGTTAATTTACCTTCTTACCATGGCGGAATCCACCTGTTTGTATACACACTGTCACCCTGTCTTTTGATGCCTGGCTGTGCAGAGTACAGCCAAGTATTACTTCTTGATTGTCCTTATCTAGATTTATTGTCATGTGGGCATGTCATAGCCAAAATTTAGTTCTGGGCTATTTTCTAATCTGTTCAACCCCCAAAAGACTAGTTTTTTTGAAGCTCATGAAATAGATGAACACAGAAGACCAAGTGTTCCAAATACCTATGTCTTGTTAACAAGTAATGCTAAGAAGAAAATGGCAGTGTTGTTGTTTTTTTCCTTTTGCAGGGCAGAGGAAATGTTTTCTGTTGCAGATGCTAATTTGTCTGCAGTCTGAACCAAAGCTCTATGGACAAGTTGTGTGTTCTTTCCAAAGGGGCTGCAGGGTGCTAGGTGCCGGGGTAATGGAATAATGCTTGAAGTATGTGCAAGGAGTGAACTCCCTTGTTCATTTGGCCTGTAAGATGCTTTAAGAATGTAACTAAGTTTTACATAATAATAATAAAATAATAAGTGTAGGGAGATGTCTGTCTATAGCAGTAATTGCCTCAGAGCTAACGTGTGAGTGACTTATGTCAGTACTTTTCTGTTGACTATATGATACATATTCTGAAATGTTCACAGTATTTGTTGATTTTGGTGACTTTAAATAAATGCACACATGGAATTTAGTGGGAGATTTTTTGAATGGACTCCACAGTCATATAATTTTTAAGAATGGGAAAAATACTTCTGAGATCATTGAGTCCAATCTCTTCCCTTTATAAAAATGGCTTCAAAGGATTATGACTTGCCCTTGTTCCTCTCATCCCTTGGCCTACCTACTCAGCTCAGCCCTGCCCCAGAGCTTTCCCACAAAGGGTCAACACTAATCTGTCAATCAGCAAACATTTATTAAGCTGCCAAGCACTGAGTTAAGCACTAGGGGTACAAAGAAAAGCAAAACTGGGTCACATTCTAATTGTGAACAAAACATGCAAACATTTTTACATATGAGATATCTACTTTACAAAGGGAAGGTAGTCTGAAAGGGAAGACACTGGAGGAGTGGGGAAACAGAAAGTAGGAGAGGTGTTGTGTGAACATGTTATCTCTGTCCCTATCACTTCTAGGTAACCATGCTGTTCTCTCACCAAATCACTAAACTCCAAAGTTGGGATGCCTCTGCTGCACAAGCCATTATTCGGAGACACCCAGTTTTATCCAGGGCTATGCATTACATGAATTGTCACCCCTGTGTATTGCACTCCACTTTTACACTCATCTGATGTTGGTCAGCCAGTTTATTAATGATGATGTCCTGGAAATGTGTGTGTATCTGCCCATGTGCACGTGTGTATGTATGAAATCTGTCTCTCTGTCTCTTTCTCTTCCCCCTTCTTTCCTTCCTTTCCTCTCTCTCTTCACCTCTTCTTGTATATATTATTAAATATATACACAGGTGATTTGGAGGAGGGGAATGAAGATATCTAATGAAAATTTCTGATCACATACCAGGTATGAGGAATGGTATTCTTTAGAGTTTACAATCTTGGACAATGAGGTAGGGAAAAATTTATTTTTCTCCAAATAAAAGTGAAACACATCTAATTATACATTTACTTTTAAAACTACCATGTGCACTTGTATTATCCATACATAAACCCCTTTTGCTGAGATATTGATCCAGTTTTTAAATGGGAAATGCTACTGCCCTGAGTGTAATTCCTTTAGGTGAGTCGACCAGTCAACAAACATTTATTAGATGCTTACTATGTGGCAGGCACTGTGCTAAGTGCTGGAGATACAAAGACAAAAAAATGAAACAATTTCCTGCCTGCAAGGAACTTCAATTCTAACGGGGGAGAGATAACCACATACACATCAGTATATATGTACTGAATATATACAAAATGAATACAAGATAGTTTTGGAGAGTGTAAGGACCCAGGTTGTCCAACTGCAAGTTAAACAGGTTAATTATTCTTGGCGCTGGGCTGCTCAGCCTTGCAAAAGGAAGGCAAGATCCAGTGTGACTCCTTCAGTGCACGTGGTGGACAAAGTCAGGTAGCAGCTAATTTTGGTTTAGGGTGACCCTACCATGTGGGTTTAAAAAGGAATGTGCCCAACTGGATGGAAACTGAATGGAACAGAAGGCTGGTAATTTGTTTTTCTGTGTGACTCATTACTAATTCTACTTGTTAATTAATCATCGAGATCTGCTTGGTGATGAAGTCTAACAGACAGGACTCCAGAAGTCACAGATACAAATCACACTTGTCAGATTTTGATGAACTCTTCCCAGAAGCTGAAAGTGACTTTTGCCTTGCACTACAATTATGCTTCCCAGTCCATTTTCACAAGTGAACACCTCCCAGCTGGGCAGTCTGCTCTATGATAGCTAAAAGGTAACACTGCATCTGCATTGGTTCTGTAGTATCTATGAGCAAAGTGGTGTATGGAGGTGGTACCTGAAGAAGGAACCTTGCTGGGACTGTCAAAGTATTTGTTAAGCACCTAATATGTGCCAGGAACTCTGCTGATTGCTGGGGATGCAATGAAAGGCAAAAAAAGTCTCTGCTCTCATAGTCTTAATTGGGAGAGCAACCTGAAAACAGCGTACCAGCAAACTAAATACAGGATAAATTGGGAATAATGAAGGGAAGAATAAGATAAAGGACTAGGAATGGCTTCTTGCAGGAGGTGGGATTTTTAGCTAGTACTTGAAGAAACCAGGGAAACTACAAGGCAGAGAGGAGGAGGAAGAGCATTCCAGGTTAAGGAGGTATGGGGTGTTTCATTCAAGGATCATCAAGGAGGCCAGTGTTGCTGGATCCCACAGTATAATGTAAGGAGTAAGCTATAAGAAAACTGGAAAAGTAAGAGGGGGCCAGGCTGTGAAGGACTTTGAATGCCAAAGAGAGGATTTTATATTTGTTCCTAGGGATGATAAGGAGCCATTGGAAGTTACTGAGTATGGTGCTATGCTTTAGGAAGATCACTTTAATAGCTGAGTGGAGGTGAACTGGAATGGAGGCAGATGATGTAGGCAGACTAGCCAGCAAGCTATTGTAATAGTCCAGATGTGAGACAAAGAAGGCAATATTGGAGGAGAGAAAGGAGTGTTTATAGAAGATACAATGAAGAGGTGGATGAGAAGTCAAGGACACCCAGGTTGCAAGCCTGGGTGACTGGGGGGATGGTAGTGTCCTTCACAGTAGGGAAAACACTGGCATT